AGTGGAGGAGAGGAACAGGAGGGTGAAGAAGCAGCAGAGTCGAACAAACGAGCTCCTGCTCCTCTCTTTCATCTTCTCCCACAGAAACTGCAGCACAACTTTCATCCACAGCGATCACACGGCCAGGACAACTTTCGACAACATGGTGAGAGCAGGAGGGTTGAAGAACACCCGCAGCAGGGGAGCGCAAGCTCTCACCTTGATAGGAGACGCTGCCGCTATCCCTCCCAGGAAGATCCCTGCTGTATGCACGCCGAGGATATATCTCATGGACTCTACGTCGTCGTGGAAGGGGAGGAGCGAGTAGATTGCGCGCAGGTTCGAACGGCCGTGAAGCATCACAGCAGAGAGGAGGAGGAGGAGCTTCAGAGACCGGCACGCATGCGTCGGGGCACGCATGAAGCGCGACAGGTCAAAGGGCTCCAGGGGAGTCGCCCGCAGCTCTGAAACTCGCCGCTGCAACCACTCCTGCACGTCCTCCCTGCTCCTCTCCTTCCCGCTCCTCTCCTCGCTCCTCCTCTCCTCGCTCTTCCCCTCCTCGCTCCTCCCCTCCTCGCTCCTCCTCTCCTCGCTCCTGGCTCCTCCTCCGGCCGGCTTGTCTTCAGCACAGCCCTTCTCTCCCCCCACGGAGCTCGCGCATGCAAACCCAACAAGAGCCGCCAGCGTGCATAGCGGATAGCCCGGGTGATCGAACGCGTCCCCCGACAGGAGGAACCGGCACACGGCAGACGGCTTGTCACCCTTGAAGTTGGGCCAGTGCTTGAACGGCAGCCCTCCCTGATCCCCGACGTGCAGCAGAAACCTCATCATCCAGAACAAGTTGCATACTGCTGCCAAGAGAACAATCCTAGCTAGGAGCCAGCTGCTCTCCAGCAGTTGCTGCACCCGGCGGGAGTGGGCAAGGCACAGGACGCCCCCGGCCATGAGCGCGAAGATGGCAGAGAAGGTGTTTGACATAAGGATGAAGGTGAAGCAGAGGGCAGAGGCGAGATCCTCCTGCTGCATCATGAAGCTCCGCAACGATCCTCGCTGCTCCCCTCCCCGCCTCCACTTTCCCCCACCTGACTCCGTCCTCCTCCTACGAGTGACAGGCTCCCCTTCAACGCCTGCTGCCATCTCCACCCTCTCCTCCTCCTCCTCCTCTCCTCCTCCTCCTCCTGACGCATCAGCACCGCCAGTCGAGAGGAGAAGCTCCCCACCCACAGAGGGAGGAGGAGGCAGGCCATGAAGTGCGACAGGAGCCCTTTCCCCAGCAGCGCGTTCACTCCCACCCCGAACGAGTGCTGGTCGCTGACTCTCATCCATAGCAGGGAGCACGCTGATGCCTGCAGCCTGTCGAGCCCGAGGCCTCTGGCTCCTCTGTACCACGCCATCGGCGCCAGGACCCAGAGGATGAGGAGGATGAAGCGGAAAACGAACAGCTCGCGGTCGACGTCCCCGCCGGCAAGGAGGAGGACGGGGGCGAGGAGGAGGAGGGGGAGAGGAGAGTAGGTCATGAAGAGAGGGTACCCGAGCTGGACCTGGTCGAACCAGAAGTCGAGTCGGCCATGGCGGATGCTCTGAGCGAAGAAAGAGATCTCTGCGAAATGACTGGAGAGATCGTCCCCGACCGTACATCCAGGAGAGGAGAGGACACTCCAGAAGCCTCGGAGAGCAAGGGCAGATGATCCGAGGATGGCGATGAAGGGGACAAGCACACTTGTGCTGATGTCGAAGGATGGGATGTCGTCGTCCATGGCTTGCTCCGTAGCTAACTCGTCGGCCGTCTCCCTGAATGATACCGCTGCATGGCGCTCGCAATCTTGCGTGGAGTTTGCCTGGGATCTTGACCGCAGATGCATCTCCGATATTGAAAGTCTCTCAGGGACGACGCGGAAGGTCCAACATGTTGCGGATTCGGTGATAATAGGATATTTGCTCGTAGTCCCTCTTCCCTTCTGCCGCTGCTAGTGCTCTCTTCAGACTTGACTCCCTTCCTTCCTCTCCGACCTCCTCTGCTATCTCCTCTCTAGACACTCTCCTCCTCCTCTCTCCCTCGCGCTCTCCCCTCCTCTTCCTCACTCCTCTTCCTCCTCTACCGGATTGGTTGTGCTCAATCCGGGTTCTCTTTTCGGTCTCTTCCATTAGGAAATCAGGGGTGGGGGGTGGGGGTTTCATTACAGGGGTGATAGTGAGTCAAAAAGGAGGGGAAAATAAGGGGTAGTCAAGAAGGAAGGGTGGGATGAGGTTGGGGTGTAGGCTGCAAGGTTGCACTGTGGGAGTGACAAGGGAGAGGGAAAGGGAGAGGAGAGGAGAGGAGAGGAGAGGAGAGGAGAGGAGAGGAGAGGAGAGGAGAGGAGAGGAGGCAGGAAGTAGGGGACAGAGAAGGAGAGGAGAGAAGAGAAGAAGAAACTAGGCGAGAAGGAGAGCTGAGCTCAACGAAGGAGGGCTGATGCAGCCCATCTAGCTCCGGGAGGGCGGGGAGCTTGTGGTTGCTGTGTCTGTTCTCAGATATGAACATCGGGATGAACGTGGAGTCCATGATGGCCAAGGGAGTGGCTGTGCTCGGACTGGACTTCTCCTCCAGGAAGTTCGAGACGGCGAGCGACTACGTCAAGTGCTTGCAGGAGGAGGCTGGGCACTGCAGCGAGGGCAAGGAGGGAGCGGAGAAGAGCATGGAAGAGTTGGCGCAATGCCTGAGCCAGCTGAAGATGAAGATCAAGCTGGAGGACGGGAAGGAGAAGCACAAAGAGTTCTTGGACGAGCTCTCTGCTCTCTTCGCCGAGGGGTCTACCTTGCAGGTCCTGATCCGCATGATGACGCACCTGGACTTCGAGGCCCGCAAGGACGTCTCCTTCATCTTCCGCGTGCTCCTCCGCAGCTCCGCGGGGCCGGAAAGCTTCTCCGTCGCCTACCTGGCTGCAGACTTCGACAGGGACGAGGAGGACAACTGCCTGGTAGACCTCCTTAAGAACTACCGGCACGCGGACTCGATCTCGACCTGCTGCGGTCTCATGCTCCGAGACTGTGCCAAGTACGAGGACCTTGCCAAGAGGCTGCTGCAGACGATGAAGAAGTCAGCAGAGGCCCCGATCGACGCGCCAGTCCGAGGAGCAGACATCTTTACCTACGTCCAACTTCCCCAGTTCGACATCGCGTCCGACGCTTTCTCCACCCTCCGAGACCTCCTGGTGATCCACAAGAAGACGGTGGCGACGTTCCTCGAGCAGGACTTCGACTTCTTCTTCAGGACGTACTCCACGCTGCTCACCAGCGACAGCTACGTCACCAAGCGCCAGGCCCTGCGCCTGCTGGGGGACATACTGCTGGACAGGAACAACTACAAGGTCATGACCCGGTACATCTCCGAGCCCGAGCACCTCAAGGTCATGATGAACCTGCTGCGAGCCAAGGAGAAGGCCATCCGCAACGACTCTTTCCATATCTTCAAGGTCTCCCCTCCCCACTCTCCCGTCCCCTCTCCCCTCTCTCCCTCTCCCTCTCCCTCTCCCTCTCCCACGCTCTCCTCTCCTTACGCTCTCCCTCTCTCCCTACTGCTTTGTTGGGTTGACCAGCTTCAAGGTGTTCGTAGTGAACCCAAACAAGGGTGAGAAGATTCAGAGTATCTTGCTGAAGAACAAGGCCAAGCTGGTCACTTTCATGGTCAGTACGATCTTCGTCTTCCTTCTTCTCTTCCCTCGATGCATCCCGTTCTGTCCCTCGCTCCTTACCTCTCCATTCCATACTCCTCCCCTGCCTTGCCATCCCTTCTGCTCCAACGCCTCCCCTCCTCCATCTCCTCTTCTTCCCTCCACAGGAGTCACTATCCCCCTCAGATGAAGTTTCGTGACGAAGAGGAGGATGAGCAGCTCCAGGAGGATTGTGCCGCTGTGAGTTTATCCTTCGATGCAGTCAACAGGTTGACGATGAGAGCAGGTGCTCGAGCATATCCAGAAGCTTGAAGACAAGCATGAAGGCAACACTGAGCAGGGAAATTGATAGGGCCCTACTCCTCTCTCTCACTTTCTCCCCCATCTTTCATCTCCTGCGCCTCTCGATCTTGTGTTGAGGTGCTGGGAATTTAGAGACGATGTTCATGGTAGCAGTTAAAGTTTCCAAAACCAGAAAAAAAAAGAAGATTGTGGATGGAAAGAGAGAAACTATGAATGACAAGGGCGAAAAGCGGAAGGAGGAGAAAGGAAGAAAGGGGCGAGGGGAAAAGAGGACAGCGACTACTAGGAACACGGGGGGAGGGAGGGAGGAGCCATTCGTTGCTCCTGCATCCTCGCTCAAGCTCCCATCCGAGGAGCCAGCGAGGAGGTAACGGCGACGCCTCTGGTACCCGTCAGGGGAAGGCCCCCGTTTGCACCCTCCACCTCCTTGGACCAGTCCTTGCCCGTCAGCGACGGCCGCTGCCAGGACCGGAAGCGCACGAAGTAGGGAAGGGCGCTTCTGACCACGTCGAACTCCGGGTCCAGCTGACGGATCAGGCCTTCAGAGATGGACATAGTGACGATGGTGATGGCCACATCCCCGCGCAGGTTGATGTTGTGCTTGTAGAGGGTCGAGAGGATGTGGCCGATCATGGCCCCGAGGTTGATGGGGCCCTTGGTCTCCTGCTTGTGCTCCTCGTGACCGGCTACATGGTGTCTCGATGACGACGGCATGTACAGGTTCATCACGTCCTTCAGCTCGCTCTTGAACGCGTGCACGTCCAGCGGAGCCGTCGACTTGTTGAACATGAGCAGCTTGTCTGCCGCCTTGTCGGCGTCTCCTGTGGTCAGAGCATGCAGCAGGTAGCCGAAGGGAGAGGCCCAGTCCTTCTCCAGTGCCGTCGTCAGGCCTGCATCCAGCACGTAGATGCGATCGTCGTGGGGATCTGTCGAGTACATCAGATTCCCCCCATGGAGGTCGCCGTGGATGTAATTGTCCCGCAGGTACATCTTGATCGTCATGTCGAAGATGTCTTGCGCAAGCTTCTTCTTCCTCTTTTCCTCCATCATCTCCCCTGCCGTCCTGTGAGCTCCTTTGGGCGTGACGCTGAAGTCTTGGCCGTCAACGGCTTCGAAGAGCTTCGCAACGCTCTGTCCGTTGATCCAGGATTCCACTAGGACGGATTCAGTGGAGTGGGCAACGAGTGGAAACACGATTCTCTACACAGCAAACTTGCGTCATCGACTGGTCAACAGTCAGACAGCAACTCACGTGCTCTCCCTGAAAGTTCTCCTGGAATTGCCGCAAGTTGTAAGCCTCCCAGTTCAGGTCCAGCTGCCGAACCATCGACTGGCAAGCGCGTCAGTGGGCCGCAGGTGTGCACGTCGGTGATCTACCGAGTAGAAACCCTTCTTGTCAAAGGGCATGGCCATGTCGTAGTTGGCAAACACCTTTGAAAGAGCCATCAGATCTCAAGGATCCTCCCAACTTGACCCACCTTGCCGGCGATGCCGAAGAAGTTGAAGATGATGTCCGCATCCACCCACGTTGACTCCAGCACTTCAGGGTGCCGAACCTGCCGGCTCCGTCAGCTCGAGCCCGCCTCCTCCTCGTGCCGGACCTTGATCGCAACCTCCTGAAACCCAAGGTCCTCCATCCCATGGGATTGCATGTACTCGCTTCTCAGCTTTGCCTTGTGAACCTGGACATCCGGTCACCAATGACCTTCCCAGCGTCACCGCCAGACCTGTGCTATCGACCCGCTTGCGATGGGAACAGGGTCGACGTATTCGAAGACATCTTCTAGCCTCGCTCCGAAAGCCGCCTCGATCTCATGCCTCGAGTGCTCGAACGAGTGTTTCGGACCATCGTCACGGAGAGCACTCAGAGCTTCGATCACGTCTGGGCTCAACAAGTCTGGTCGCATGCTCAGCCATTGGCCGATCTTCTGGAAAGAGCATCCAGCACGTTCGAAACTTTTCACCTGGGCAGCAACCAGTCAGGGCGCCAGAGGAAGTGGCTCTACTCCCACCATCAGCTGGAGGTACCACCCACGGAATGACGGGTAACGACTCAAAATCGGCTCGAGGATCGTGCAGATGGCAAGGGGAGTGAAAGTAATGGCGAGGGTGAAGATGCGCTTAACGATGAAGACTATTCTCCATGCCAGCGGCTGATTCTTGAAGGGGTGGATGAACTCCTGCGGTACACTGAGCGGCTTGATCGCTTCTCCGAGTGCATCATTTTCCAGTTCCATTATAGCTCCTTCTCGCCTCCTCTCATGAAGATGTTTCGCAACAATCCCCACGATCCCAGCACACGTCCACCCAAAGATAGTCTTCCTGCTCTTCGACCCGTTGGGCTGCTGCATTGACATCAGCTCGGCCTGCGCTGCGTTGCAAGAAAGACGAGCAGACTTGGGTTGCAGGCCCCCCAGCTTCCTGTACTTGAAGACTTCATACGACCTCTTCCCTCCATAACTCCTCGACAGAATCGACAAGCCTCTGAAATTCGTGTTGACAACGAAACATCGAAACATTGCGTTGCTCATGATGGTTGAAAGCTGTCAAACGCAAACCAGGAGAAAAGTTCTGATATCTGGGCTGACTGACCGAGAGACGGCTCCGATCAAGATGTTTGACAGGAAGACCTGTTCTCCTGCAACTTCCAAGTCACCGAAAAATAGAGAGTGAAAAGGTGAGGTTAGAGATTTCTTCAAGCAAAGATTGTTCTATGAGGGGTATGAACCAAAAGAAGCGTATCAAACGACCAAGCAATCACTTGGTTTCCACTTTACACAGAATGGAGGAAAGAGGAAAAACTAAGACCAAAGCTGGTCAAAAACTCAAAGATTGGAGCTTTTTCGCTGCGAGTTTCAGGAGTCGAGAGTTATATGAATCAGGCGCCAGGAGAAACAAACTGAAATAGCTTCAACTAAATGATGGCGCTGAATCGAAATGGAAACAACTAAGGCAGAACAAAGCAGGGAAACTCAAATCCATCAAACTCAGGATCTTCTGGAAGAATTCTAGGATCCCCCACCATGTCGCTTTGGGTTTAGTCTCGTGAATATGGGATACGCTGAGCATGGCATGCATACGATGACCGAGCTTGTCATGAACGCTGGCAGCAGATTCCGAGCATGGCAAGCAGGGAGCCCGTGCAAGGATAGCATGCAAAGCAACTTGTCGATCTTAGGATGGAACGAGGAGAATGGGGGGAGGAAGGGAGGTATGGGAGGAGTTACGGCTTGAAAGAGCGCGTGGAAGTGAGACAGACGTGAAGGAAGGGATGAAGTTAGGACTTGAAGCAGACACGGGACGAGGAGGGGGGCGGGGGTCCTAAGCTGCCGCCGCCTGCATGGTGCTCTAGCATGTGCAACGTGGGGGTGGGGGAGGGTACTGATTCGAGAATGCAGGGGTAGGGTACCATTTCGACTGGGTAGTGGGGTTCTGGGTAGGGGTCTATGTTGAGTCAACTAGGGGTGGGACCATGGAAATAGGCAGGAGTTTGAGGGATTATGTACCGGTTCTACAAATCATGACTTCTCCTGAAGATAAAGTCAGGTTTTTAAGGGTCATGGGTACCAGGGGTCCTGTCAGATCCTCCCGATTCGTGATCTTGAATGGTGGTGAGCCTCAAGGGGGTAGTAGAGTCGACAGGGTCAGCATATAGGGATACAGTATGGGAAGGGGGTAGTAGCCGACATGGAAGGGGTACCAAATGATTTGATAGGGTAGGGGGTACTAGGAATATTAGCAAAGGTGGGGTACAAACTGGTGTGAAATGGGGTGAGGGTGGGCGAATCAAAATCTCCAATTGAAAATGGGTGGGTGAAATGTTTTCGTTTGGGGTGTTCGTGGCATAGGGGTGGTATAAAATGGGGGTGAGCGAGGGAGTCGGCGTAGTGTTTCATGGGAAAGAAGGGGGTGGTCTAGTATGATGATGAGGGTGGGGGTACATTGATGCAACAAGGTAGGTAGGGTGTCTAGATCCATTGACCGGGGTGGGGAAGAAGTCCTATGATATTGGAGGGGTGGTGTCAGGGCTCCGTGGGGGTAGGGTGGTTGGGCCCCGTTTCGTAACAAGCAATTGTAAAACATTCAAGGATAGAGGACTTTAAAAACATTTAAAACAATTTTAAAGTGAATGTGTACATGAATATTTAAAAGTAGTTTTGAATACAGTTTCTCCATAACAAAATTGCAATAGAGTAATTTATTTTCTATACAGTAGTTTACTCAAAGTTAGAATTATTTACACTGGAGTTTTTGTCGGGTCCGAAGTTTGTGGTCGGGGACCTCGAAGTTTCCAAGTTTCGAAGTTTCGTTCTTTTTTTGTTCTTTTTATGTTTTTTTAATTTGTTTTCTCATGGGGGAATAGAGTTTGTGCTGCCGTCAGGACGGACAAGGCGGCGTAGGGATGGCGGCGAATGGAGCGAAGAGACGGGAAGGATGGGGAGGGAGGGGGATGGAGGGAGGAGGGTTGAACATGGAGGATTAGTCCTGGGGAGAGAGAAATAGGAAGGCAACGATGAGACGAAAGACAGACAGGCATGACGACGTTCCAAGTGACGAAAACTTTGATTGAGGTCATGGATCATGACTGGAGGAGGAGGAGGAGGAGGAGGAGGAGGAGGAGGACCGAGGGGCAGGCAAAAGACGGTCTGAGAGGCACTTCACGAAATCATGTGTTTGATGGTCTGAGATGAAGGTGGATGAGTAACTGAGATGTTCGAGGCAAGGCTATGATTGTCAGTTCTTGCTGTTGGCAGCGTGAGAGAGAGCATCTAGGTGAGATGGAAGTAGTGACTGAGATAAAACAGTTAGTTCCCCATGATATGCTCCGTCCCTGTTCTCCTCCTCTGATCCTTCGTTTCAAGCTCGATCGCCGTTACGTTTATACGTCTCCATGCCGTCTCGTGGCGCCATCGACGGGTTTGACAGCCCGCGCCTTCCCGTCAGGGTAGCCATTATCGGCGCGGGATGCATCGGCAAGGAGCATATGAGGAACATATCTCTGATGCCAGAAGTCGCGCAAGTGGTCGCTCTAGTCGACAGCAACCAGAGCTCGCTGGCTTCCTGCCTTGAGCTGCTGCCGAGCATCAAGAACGTGCGCACGTTTGAGAGCGTTGGGAGCTTTGTGCGGTGGGTGAATGCGGAGGACGACATGGGAGACTTTGACATGGGAAGGAGAAGTCAGTGCGATGCTGTGGTGATCGCAACCCCGAACTACACGCACTTGAACATCATGGAGGAGGTTGTGCAGAAGACTTCGTTGCACGTGCTTGTCGAGAAGCCTCTTTGCACCAAGGTGGAGGACTGTAGGAGAGTGGAGAGGTTGGTAGAAGACGATCGGGCGAGTGATCCGAGGTGAGGGGGAAGAGCAACGATGCATGTTGCTGCTGATTCTCTCTCAGGCGCGTCGTGTGGGTGGGGATGGAGTACAAGTATATGCCGTCAGTTGCTAGGTTGTTGCAGGAGGTGAAGCAGGGTTCAGTGGGGAGAGTGAGGATGGTGTCGATAAGAGAACACAGGTTCCCGTTCTTGACAAAGGTATGAAGATTGAAAGTTGCTCTTCTCAAAAGAGAACCTTGCTCGTGAACACCCCTTAGCTCACGTGCTCTACATTGTTCTGATACAAATAGATGACTTGTTCTTGTGTTGTTCTGTTGTGACACCGGATCCCTACAGGTCGGGTATTGGAACAGGTTTAACGAACTCTCCGGCGGGACTCTCGTTGAGAAATGCTGTCACTTCTTCGATCTGATGCGTCAGATCCTCAAGTCAGATCCTGTACCTCCTCCTCTCGCTTCTTGCTCCGTCCTGATCCCTGCCCAAGGTCAGAGTCATGGCGTCTGGGGGCCAGGATGTCGAGTACCAGTCTGAGCTGTACCAGCGCAGCGGGGAAGAGGGAGAGGACCAGGCAAACATCCAGCAGCATGTGGCTTGCCAGCAGAACGAGGATGAGGATGGCGCGGGAAAGATTCGGCTGATGAGGCCTGACATCATTGACAACGCGTACGTGATCGTGGAGTTCAAGAACGGGGGCAGGGCATGCCTCGACCTCTGCATGTTTGCTGAGACCTCTCTGTACCAAGAGGAGATCTGTGTGGTGGGAGATAGAGGTGACTCTGCCTTCCCCGCGTTGTTGCTTCACTTCCTCCTTGAAATTGTCCGCATCCCTGTCTTCCATCTCACCACCGTCGTTTGCGCTTTCATCAACTCTTCCTTCTTTTCTTCTCTCCTCCTCCCTCTCCCCCCGTCCTCTCCCAACTGCTATTCTCTATCGTTCCCTTCCTACTTCTCATCCTTCCTTCTCCTCTCCACCCCTCTGCTCTCTTCTTCTGCCTGCTCCCTTCATCTCCTCCTTGTCATTTCATGTGCTTCCATCGCAGGTAAGGTGGAGGCGTTCGGGTCTCGTCATGGGGAGAAGGAGGAACAAGAGGACCTGTCGAACTTCAGGATCGGGTTGCGACCAGCCAAGTCAGAGTGGAACGCTGCTCGAGAGGTGAGGAGGAGGAAGGAGGAGAAAGAGATGGAGGGAGGCGAGGGAGGCGAGGGAGGCGAGGAGAGGAGCAGAGAGAGAGGAAGGGGTGACAGGAAGAAGGGAGGACAACGAGGATGCAGGGAGGCAAGGGCGTTAATGGAGTTAGTGATAGTGATGGTGGTAATGGAGGGCGAGGACGGGGACGAGGATGGGGACGAGGACGGGGAAGAGGACAGGAGTGTTGTCGGTTTTCACAGCTCTCATCGAACTGATAGGTCGATGCACCATCCACCAAGTCGCTTCCTCCCGTGCAGCAGGAGCACATCGGAGGTCCAGCAAGTCTCTCTAGCTCCTCCACATGACGCCTGGCGCTGCAGTAACGGACTCCAGACTTCTGGAAGCAGGAGCGCACGAGGGGTCGACGTTCCATGAAGTGCGTGAGGAGCAGAGGGGGGAGTCAGAGCTCACGGCAGCTGCAGCTCAGGCGGTTCTGTGAGGCGATCGTGGGGGAGGAGAGCGCGATGGAGGAGCTGGTGCGTGTGGAGGACGGAAGGTAAGGGGGATGAGGACGAGGAGGAAGAAGGGCGGGAGAGGGAGGGAGGATGAGGAGGAGGAGGAGGAGGAGGATGAGGAGGAGGAGGAGGCAGCAGCAGCATTAATTGTTTTGCAGATGGGCTGTTGCGATGGGTGTGGCGGCCCAAAAATCCATTGAAATGAACGGACAGCCCGGTATCCCTCTCTCCCTCCCTCCCTCCCTCCCTCCCTCCCTCCCTCCCTCGCTGATTTTCTGCTCCTTGACAGTCGAGGTCGAATTCTAAGGAGAGGGAAGCAGCGAACAGGCACGACTGGAGGAGAGGAGATTACACATGACAAGCTTTCGATGCGTTGGTCAGAGGTTTTGTAACTTGTTGATAACAAGTCGGGAAAATCTTTCAAGATCCTCTAGTGTCATCATGCCACATTCTGGCACGATCATTCAAAACCATCTACAAGGAATTGAAAGTCAAACAGCAGAGAGATATCGAGGTAGGTAGATTGAGAGAAAAGACTATCTTGAAATGCTTGCGATAGCCGCTTCATGTTTTTGCAACAACAACATGAGGCCAAGAAATTGAATTTTTGTCTGTTTTCTGTGAGCATGTAAATGGAGATTCATCAACAGAATACAATCAACAACCTTGCCCACCCTTCTGATTTCCCATAGAAGTCGAAAGCTCCTTTTAAACTCGTGTACCTGTCAGGAGATGAGATGAGATGAGATGAGATGAGATGAGATGAGATGAGATGAGATGAGATGAGATGAGATGAGATGAGATGAGATGAGATGAGATGCGATGAGATGAGATGAGATGAGATGAGATGAGATGAGATGAGATGAGATGAGATGAGACATTCTTTACCTTCTTTGTTGTGTTAAACAAAGCAGCAGTCCTCCGCTTTTCCCATAAAGTTCTCATCTGAAAACCAAACAAGAAATGAGGTGTGACACTTAGTCTATCAGAAGCATTTCCAAAATTTGAGAAGATGAGAATGAAGAAACCATCTTACGAGAAGCGAGAGAGGAG